CGCGGCCGATCCGCACCCCTGAAGGGACAAAGGCGCCGCCATCGGGCGAGGCAGGAGAAAAGAGAGCGCGGATTTATTAATTATAACGAAGCGAAATCGATATCGAAACGTTCTCGAACGAGAGCCTCGAGGACCCGCGACGCGTCGGGTTGAAACTTCAAACGGCAGTACCGAGGATTAATTAGTATAAAACACAGCGAGTCTATCGGGTCTCGGGCGGTCCTGGTGGTATCGAGAGGGAAAGCGAGAGAGAAAAAGAGAACGATATTTAATCAAACACTCGCCGCAGCCGCGTAAGTCGTGCAGAAGGCTCCTACCCCCCTCGTATCCGCCGCCGGCTTCAATATTTTCGAATTACCATCCGGATGGTTTTTAACAAATGAAACATTCTTTGCCGCGGTCATATTTTTACACAATCCGCGGGGTAAGCGCACCCCGGGGCTCTGTTGCGCTTTAATCAAACATCCGCCTCTGAGTACGTACTTGTTCGGACTAAAATTCTTTCCGATAACAAGATTTTCCGTTTCTTGCCTTTACTCCACACACATTTCAAATCTCGTCGTCTATTAATTTTAAGTATGAAATTCTTAGTTAATTTGACTTTACTGAAGGTCTACGGAGTGGCGGATTAACTGTTGTCTCTTATCATTTGAAGGATTCTACCCTTCCAAGAAGAAAGAAAGGCGTGATTATACTCGACAGTCTTCATATTTCTAATTGCATGGATTTAATAAAAAAAAATAGAACATGTCGCAATTTGTTTTCTGTATTGATTTCCTTATACGTACATTTTTTCTGTTAAACGAACCACGCGTACAGATTACATCTCCAATTAATTGAAAACTCTCGTCGAGAAAACCTTCAAAGGGGCAAAAATTCACGGCTTTCGGCGTATCCCCCGGTGCGAAAAAGTCAGGGCAATCAATTATCGAGTATCCTCCCGGCATATTTCTCGGTCAATGCCTCCCCGCCGTGGCGCCCTTAAAACCACCCTTACCTCTTATCGTCTTTCTTCTTTCGGAGGCGGTTTTTCGTGAGACCAGTCTCGGCGGTAGGGGATGGCGGGCCTTTGTTTGGAATACCAAATATTTGTTTTCTTAAATAACGCGCGGAGGGTGGGTAGCGCTCATTTCATCCCTTAATAAATTATCAGTGATTATTGGTCGTGCTCGTTCGTCCACGGCCTTGTTTGTCGGAGGGCTTCCTTTTTTATCGTGATTCCCTCTTTCATCCGCATCGCTTCTAGCTGAAGAAGCCGACGGAGGACCGATCAAGGGCTCGAAATTGCATCCCTGAAGATCTTTGACGGCGTCGCGACTGATTAAAGTTCGTTAACGCCGTTAACGTCCCAGAAGGGTGCTCGGCTTCTTAACGTCCGCCTCCAAGGGGCGGAATCTTCCGAACGAAAATTCCGCCTGCACTCTTCGAATTTTCCACATTACCGGCCAGGGTCGATCATGCTCCTTGGCGATTCGTCCTCGAAATCGTTAATATTACGGAGTAACTATTCGCCGGGGAGTGTATACATCTCGAACCGTAAGAGAACCTTGAAAGCGATCCCCTGTCTGAAGGATGTAATGAGAGGGTGACATTACAGGGTGTTGCTCCTACCTAGAAGATGGGCATTCCTTTGGCGCCGCATTGATATAATATTAATCCAGGCCAGGAAAACTCAAAGGGTAACCATCGGTCTAGTTCGCCAAAGCCCATTTTCGTCCAACGCGTAAACGCGCCCCGAACGTCCCTACAAGCATATTAATGTCTTCATTAAGCACTTTGAACGGGGCACAATGGTATTGAGCTAGCTTGGACCAGCTTCGAAACAATCATTTAAATTTTTTCAGCAGATAGACCCGCGTATTCAAATTCTTCGCTTGAAACACTCGGGTCCTTTATCAGTACTTTTGGAAATACATTTTTTTTGAGATGTGGTCTTGGTCGGATTCGATTTCAAGTCTTTTCGCATATAAGCGCGGATCTTTTTGTTCCTTAGATCATGAAAAATTCAGAATTTCGTAGGTCTAAATTTATTAAAATCGCCGCCTTGGCTCCTGATTGATGGAGACTCCGGGTCAGAACCCTCGGCGTCGGGCGACGTCGCGACGCTAATCCGGGGTACCGTAGCACCCCCGTAGCGATCGCGGCTTAATCAGAATTTTCATCCTCCCGAGACACATTCCTGCGAAATTGCCAATAAGGGGAATATCGATTCGCGAGAATGAAAATTGCGAGCCTCCTCTCTTCCACCTCCTACGTGTCCCCGCGATTTTCAGCGTCTCTCCCTGATCTTTTTCACCCTGTTTTACCTGCCCCACCAAGTATTTAATATCCGCGAAGGTATATACTATATACCGCCGCGGCATGCGTGCCTCACCGAAGTAAGTGTGCACTTTGATACACGATTAAAGTTCCGTATCTCTATAAGCAAATGTAAACAAAAACAAAGTACCCCGTCCTTCTAAATACCTCGGCATTAACTATTTTTCTCGATGGCTTTACAAAATCACAAATTGCGTTAACATTAACAATTCTACAATATCTGAGTTATATTTATGTTTTTTAATACTTCGGTCTTATTGCAGGGCACGTAACGGAGGAACGTTACGCGAAGATAGCGGTTAAAAATGAATAATAAAATTGAACCGACAACAAAGTGAAAGTTTGCAATACCGGCTTCCTCGAGACGTAACAAATGGCGAGAAAAATTCGGGTACGACGTGCGGGTTCCATCCAAAATAACTGTGCACTTTGATACGCGATTAAAGCTCCGCCACCCCTACCCAGTTCCCACATATTAAGAGGGTAAACCCGCAGAAACTACTCGACCTTAACAGTCCTGCTCACGGGTCGAGTGCATGTCAAGCCGTCGTTGACGTCGTCTGCTTCTCTTTATGTCAAAGCTTCGCGAATCGTTGATTTTCCCGTCCTAGGCAGCGAAGAAGCAAAGGGCGCGCAGCAAAGGGAGGAGAGAAAAGGGCCCGGACTCGGGGCCGGTTTAAAAACTACTAAGCATTTCGCGTGTTTGTTTGAACGCGCACAATACCATTAGGAACGCTTTTCACCCCTTGAGCTACAGGGGAGCGACTACCACGACCGTTTTCCCGGCCCTCCCGCGACCATCCACTAACCAGGACCGTCGAAACGGGTACGAGTTTTTCTCAGTTTCCATCCGGCACTTCCGTGGTCGTCGCCAGTAGGTGCAGGCGTCACGTACGTACGCGCGTAGTAGATGCCACGCGTACACGCGCGAGTCCTACGTACCTAGGTGCGGTGCGCGTAGGGGCGCCTGGGCGCCCGCCAGCTACCAGACCGCTTACACCCCTACGCGCCGCGCTCTCGTGTCGACTCGAGTCATAACGTTTATTTTCATGCTTACTTTGCCCCGAACGAACGAAAAACCGACGAAGTACCACTACCGCGGAAAACCACCCATGCCCGAGCCGCCCTTCTACAAGATTTTCCAATGACGGAGAGCCTGGAGGGTCCGAAGTATTTTTGGAAATTACTCCTTCCGTCGAGTTATTTTCTCCTCATCGGGAGATGTAGGAAAAAACCGTCGGCTAGGCTTGTAATCGAAATTATGGTAAAATTATGGTAAAATTATGTTGGAATGGAAAATACGTCCGGTCTCTTTCCAGCTAACCGAAGTCAAATTTGACTTTTTCCTTCCTCAGGGTGACCTTGTTTGAAAAGAGGCGAACGCGCTCTGCCTAAGGAATTCCGGGGATGCCCCGGATGCTTTTTTGAAGCTCTCGAGCGCTCGCATTCGTCGCATAATCCCCCTTTGGTAGCCAAAGGGTGTGCCGGCGGAGGGAGGAAAACGGGGCACCGCGGATGCTGTAACACGGCAAGAAGCGCGTTCGACGCGTCATGGCAAAGAGACCGCAGAATCTCTGGCTGGACCCGTCCTCTCGCCGGTCGAGCGAGCCTCTCGCTTCCGGGAACTTTGTTACATTTTTGGCTAAGTTCGCTCGGTCCACCGTCTGCTCGGGTCCCGGACGTAAGTGGATCAAAGGGGTTGAAGCGCTGTCCGGAAGTGGCTCAACTCGCGAAGCTGCGCAGCAGACCAGCTGCGGAGGAAGCGCACCAGCCGAGATGGTGTACGCCCTTCCATTCGTTTTCATCTGTACGGTCGTAAAAGTAAAGCCGCACCCATCTTGATGATACCTAGAAATCCTGAAAGGAATTAGTTTCGCTTTTACTCCAAGTCTAAATTATTTTATTTAATAATTCAGTGCATGCTAAACTGAGAAAACGTTGATTTACCAAACGTCGTTCCCACCCGAAAGAAAACCTGTTTTGTGCCTATTAGAAATTTTGGACATCGTGAATTCCGTTTTGGGACCTGGTGTAATCATCGGGTGAATATCAAGGCATGTGTTTATGCATTTAATAGCTCTTCTGCATTTTATTAAACTATATCGCCATTCTCTCCGTCATCCATCCCTTCATCGTGCGGCACCATTTTCACGATTTCCTCTCTTGATCTCGCGGGCTTCGGGTTCGAAAGGCGATTTTCCGCCGCTAATGGCACGGATTCAGAAGGGCAAAAATAATTAGAATTTCGAAGCGGCCGGGCCGCTCAAAGAGCATTGTACGCCCACATGGATTTCTTATGAAATGAATTGCACTGAATCGTGCGCCATGGCAGAGCGGCGTCGGTGACGTCGGCCGGCCGCGGTGCACTCCACTTGTGGTGGTGAAGCCGGGGAAACAAAGGAGCCGCCGGCGAATTAAGAACGATATTTTAACGCTCGACTTAATTGCATTAAATTAATGGTCGAGTAAGGAGTCGGAAAAGTCCCGCAAAAACGAGAGCCGGTGCATTTCGGCGACAAGCTTCCGCCGCCTCGCGAATCGGATCGACGGATAAAGCTGCGAAGTTGAGGGTGCTTAATCCTTAAAAAAGAAATAGAGCTTCTCAATTTACAAAACACACAATCATATGATCTTTTTCCCGCAAATTATTAACAACTCTCGTGAGATAATTCAGTCTTTATTGCTCAAATAGTATATTTCATAAATATAGTTTGAAGTTTCATGTAGCAGCATAATGCTTTACGAAGGAACTGAAAATGGTCTTATATGAAAATGTATCATAAAACAACCAAAAGTAAGCCGTAATGTCGCTGAATGTTTTATGAGTTCTGCTTATTGTTTCTGTTATATACTAAGAAATTAAAAAAAAAAAGAAAAATACGTGAAAATATTCAGGAATATTACACACCCACTTTGATGTGTAGTTGTTTTTGGATTAGGGTAAAATTCACATTGTTGAGTGAAGCAGCTTATTGTGGTTCATCAAAGATATAGGACCTTTAAAGTACTTTTGACAAATTTGACAGTAGTAACGAAGTTTGTTCTCGTGGATCTTCTGATGCTTGTTCAAGAGATCCTTGCGAGCGAAGGTGCGCTCGCAGGCGTTGCACGAGAACTTGTTCGGATTCGTGTGGAAATTGTTGTGTCGCGTCAGATTGTCCAGTCTAGAATACTCCTTGGTGCAAATCTCGCAGGTGAATTTGTTCCTCTCAGAGTGGCATCTCTGATGGTACCGGAGATACCTTTTCTGAGAGAAGTTCTTTCCACAAGCGCAGCAAGAGACCAGATTGGATTCGTCCCTACGAACATCCATGTGTTGGGACAAATCGGTCTCCAGTGAGAAGTTCTGCTTGCAGAAGGGGCACGTAAATTTCCGGATCTGCTTGTTGCTGCGAATCTTGTCCACGAACGTTGGGTCTACCATGATCTTGTAAAGGAACGTATTTTTAAACTTGTCATCGGTCTTCTCAAGTAAATCGCCCTCCTTCCCTAGTAAAGAAGTGGAGGCTTGAGTTTTGTACGAGAGGTCTATCGCCTGATCGTGAGCAGTCACGATGGGCATTGTCCTTATTCCTTGATCCACGAGACAACCACATTGTTGCGATGGACCTGCCACCCCGACGTCGTAGTTTCTAAAATTTCCGTTGATGTCCTAAAAATCAATACGCGTGAAATATACGATTCTTGTCAATGACACTTTAAGTCTTCCACCCTGCTTCGCTAATTTTTAATCATTAACCGAAGTGTAACAATACTCTCCCGTCCTTTGCTATTTACTTGGCTGAGCTAGTTCAAACCGCGAATGTCACGTCTACAAGTGTGGACAGACTTGTCGGAACGAACGAGGAATTTAGGGAACGCCCTTGCCGCTCCGTAAAATGTTTTTCAGCCTCCAAGAAACTTAAGCTGCCTCCACACGAATTACCGCGCCGATTACGCACGTTAAATATTACCTTCTGCCTCGTTTCTGCGTGACTGCTATCTGCGTTATCAAATGCAATGCATTTCGTCCGGAATTCGTAGCGTTCGCTCATGTCGTTATGATGTTCGGCCGGTCTGCGAATCAGCCTATATCGTGGTGGTGTCTTAGTTCGCATTATTATCTGACAAATCGGTAAAAAAGAAGTTGAACAAGAAGCAGAGTCGACTTTCAAAATTTACTACACAATATAATACCCTTTATCCTGTATAAAAACATTATTCAACCGTAGTCTTTAATTCGTGATAATTATAACTATATGACTTAAGCGACAATAACGGTGAGAATAAAAATTGATAAACTAAAATCAAAGATAAAATAAAACGCGGATAGCCTATTTTTACCGCACTTTTTATATTTATGCCGATTCGTGCACGTGAAATATTTACCCGAAAAAGTGCACATACTTACAGTAATTTAATTTCAGCGGATCCTGAGTTAGATGATGCAATATTCTTTACTATCTTTTTATGAAGAGTTGGTGAATCTCGCCACTCGATACTTAACGTTAATCGAGTCGTTGGGACACCTTGATGCTTTTGACAATCCACTCTCGTGTTTTCACTATGACGAACGGAAGCGAACTGACATGCTGTGGAATTCGAGATTTGAGTGACTTTGGTCGATCCGAGGAGGACACGCCGCACAACACAAGTTTCCTAGGACCCATGTGCCATGACAACGTACCCACCTCGGCCTCCGGAGGTCGTTGCTGAACATAGAAGGATAATCTGTCAACAAACAGACACTTCCACGCGCGAGTGAATGACCGCCGTAAGAATTCGACTTTCCGGAGTCAAATCGATTCCGTGGACTGTCTAAGGATAAGGAGGGCGCACAGAGGCGATTTAAGAGAACTCAGTGATACGAAACAGCCATACACGTGTGGGCGATTATTACAATGGTTGGGCGACATAAAACGAGCAGAGGCATTGCATTAGTCGTGACAAGGAAACTTTCTTTTATCGGATATTTTTAAGCATAATTAATTGAGTACAATGTTTTAAGTCCACGTTAGAGAGCGATAACGTTGTCATGAAATTCGATGACATAGGGAGTGTAATCGATGATTGGTAAATTGATGCACTCGGGAAGAAAGGTGCGTAATAAATGCGTAATGGCTAGGCAGCAAATCGAGCCTCTTGGCGAGTGCTCGAGGTCGGAGCAGACTGGAAGGACGTTAAGAAAGTCGAGCAATAATTAAGCAGCATATTTTCGAGAGCGGCGAAAAAGTCAGGGGCGAGGGGGCGTCTGTAAGTCGGCGAGGGGGGGCTGAGTGAAATTGCCGAAAAAAAGCCACGATTGTCCCGTTGATGTTTGGATGATGTTCCAAGGTCCTTCGCCCCCGTCGTTAATATAACATAAGGAGGAGCCGACCGGGGTGGGTTAAGCGAGGGGCTAACGGGGGGGTTTTAATTGTAGTCCACCCGGTATAACCCCTACCTACCGTCGGTATTGTCATACCGAGCAGCGCTTTTCTTTATTTCCCCAGTGGCTGGATGAGGTTATACATTTTTTTTAACTACGGCAATGCCTCCGTCTTCTTATTAGCAAAGCTAATTGGAAATACAAATGGTTATTCACGGTAAGGGAACGGTAAGGTCGAAATGGATGGCTCGCGAGGGCTGGGCTACACTTCTGCGTATTAAGCTCGTATTTGCCCCGGATAATTAGGACTTTTTTCCCGGCCAATTTGGATGAATAATTGATTTTCCTCGTCCCTCAGGCTCCGACGTCACTGTGCCTTTTCGGGTGACAATCGAGACCAGGAAAATAAGGATCCTCCGATGAAATATTCATCGGGGGATACTTCTCTCTCCCTTTTCTTTATGAATTCCTTCGGTTGCTGCCGCTTGCCTGTACAGGGTTAAATGAGACGATCGTAAGCTCTCGAAACTCGAGCCTTAAAGTAAGAGAATGAAAAGCCGAAATAACCCAACGCAAATTACTCTTATTTCTTTCAAACGAAAATGTCATCTCAACAATAAAACGCGATACACGTTTCCGACGCCGGCTCGAATTTCCATAAAGTCGATCCACTTTATTTTCGTCTCTTATCATTTGTTATTAATTATTTCTTTCGGTACGTCAAGTTCTCCACCGAGGTATTTTTTTGAATGCCCGTTACAAGAGATAAACAGAAAGTAATTAATGCGATGGGGTACCGACGATGTACGCGATCGATATGAACGAGCACGAAGTGTTAAGGTCTCGGTACTTTTCCTTCTTTCGAACGAAAAAATCATCTCAACAATAAAGCGCGATACACGTTTCCGACGCCGGCTCGAATTTCCATAAAGTCAATCCACTTTATTTTCGTCTCTTATCAGCTGTTATTAATTATTTCTTTCGGTACGTCAAGATCTCCACCGAGGTATTTTTTTGAATGCCCGTTACAAGAGATAAATAGAAAGTAATTAATGCGATGGGGTACCGACGATGTACGCGATCGATATGAACGAGCACGAAGTGTTAAGGTCTCGGTACGCAAAGCGTCCTCCCTCCTCCAGCCAAAAAAGTAGTATATTCATCGCTCCTGCACCGAGTGCGAGCTTCGGCTCGCAACGGCTAATTAAGCTTTAATTAACCATTAATATTGACTGGGCACCGACAAATAAGTCAGTCGGTTTTCACTCGGTGCATTTCCCCCTCGACGCTTCGCATCCTCTATCGCATGTTTTCACGTACGCGTGCTCTATCTGCCTCTTTTTCCGTCTTTTCCTTTTGCGTATGTATGTCCCTCTCTCTCCCTCTCTATCTTTCTCTCTCCTTCTCTCTGCCCGCCGTTTCTCGTCAGCGTGCGGGTAAAACGCTCGCGAGGATTCCCAACTTTTTCTCATCAGCATTTTGTGGTTACGGAGTGTGCATCAATAATGCATGTACTTAATGCAGGATGAGGCTCGCGACTCTTCGACTAATAAACCGGAAATCTGCGTATATATTTCAAAGTAATGCGTCGAGCAGAGATGAAAGTTCCTCTTTTCGATGCAGTTCTCATGTACCGTTGTAAAATAAGAAATCTTCCGCGGGAAACAGGCTGCACATCCAGAAGATAAATGTAAATTTATTCAATTTTGTCGGATTTGTTTCGAGAAAATGGCCAAAGTTTGTTTTCGCTGTACAACTGATTCCCGATGATCAATGATGAATGGCGTTGTAGTCCAAACGTGTGGTTTTGATACGTGAATTTTAAACTAAATTTCATACTCTTGTGGGCTACATTAAAGTCCATGATACATATTATTTATATCTGCAAATATTTTGTCGCTTTATGTCGTTATTGGAGGTAGAATCGGGGTCAAAGAAAATTTATTCGAACGCAGTCTTTGGTTTCCCAGACATTGGATTTTTTAAATACACTTTTGGCCTGCCTCGGCAATCTCGTTCCCAGAAATTGCTGAAAGCAGAGGGTGATGGTGAAATTTAAGATAGCGCCCCGTGCTTCGTTTCGCTCGTCCATCCCCTCGCTTTGGCGAGATGTGAAAATTTTTCTCTGGGCTGATTTTTGACTAAGCGGAGAGGCGCGCCGCCTCGTACATCCCGAAGGTGAGGCTTCGTGAAAAATATGAGTTTAATAAAGAAGAAGGTGTGATGTATGGCCTCGTGCCAAGGGGAAGAACCTCCCAGGATCAGCCGGCTTCGATACGCCTGAGTATTGTATGCGTAATATACACGGTGTTTCACTATCGACGGTGTATATGCCGCATTTTGAGGGTGAGCTATGCAGGGTACCGCTTTTAATATTTCTCCCCTTGCGGGCCTGAAATTGTCAGCATAGACAGGGTATTACTAGACAACCCTCAGCGGATAGATTGAGGAATTCGATAACTTAAAATGTATCGTGATTTACTATCGATCATATATGTATAACGTTCTAGAGGTCCAGAATCCAATTAAACAAACGTAACAAAAATCCTGCGTAAACGTAATACTTCCTACAATTTACGTAAAGAGGAAAACTTTCACTACGGATCATATTCTTAAGGTGAAGTGAAACACGTCGAGGAACTTTATCGACGTAGATAAAGAAGATTTTTCTAAATCCCTACGTTGCCGACGTTCGTTTTTATATTGACAGCTGTATCGAATTATATTGGATATTGTACTAAATGGCATACTCCACCTGTCATTTTCGTACAATAAATATCAAGAAATCGAAATAAAACTCCAAAAATCCTCTGGATTCATGATTTCTGGGGCCCTAATTGACTGTAGAGGGACCCCCTGCGCCATCTGTGATTTCCAGGTCAATTAAATTTTCACCCCGAGACCTCGTATTCCCATCGTTTTCGCATAGAAGCGCATACAACACTTTTTTTGCCCTTATCCCGTTCAAATACGAGTTTATCGATTACCAGAGTGTTCTAAATTGTCGTAAAATTGTCCTGACCCTTTCGTTTCCCATATCGGAGCCTTCGATAATTGTATATTGATCGAAATACGAGAGTTCGACGCCATTTTGGTTCTGGTCTGGGCTAAGTTAAAAAATTGTTTCCAAAAATCCAAATTTTGAATGTGTCAGGACAATTCTTAGATGTTCAGGAGTGGCGTGTCAACGTTTCGGACAGTTTGGTCTAATACCCTTAAAAAAAGTGTTGTATTCGAATCGACTGATTTGAAGGGGGTTTCACTTTACCTTAAGACGTTAAATTCAAAATCAGCATAAAATGTCAGATATGGAATCAAATCGCCATAGCTACTAAAGTAATCTAAACCATATCTAATTCCTCTGCCCTCTCATATCCCGTGGATATTCGCGATTTAAATCGTCCGATTTCGAGGTCGAAGTGACCGAGCTCACAATTGCAGATCCAGAGATTCGGAGCTTATACGCACTTCGGATCTTCCAGGACCTGGTTTAACGCGTCGTGGAGCGGACTCGGTGGATTTCCATGGAAATCGATGACACCCCGGCAACTTCGGAGGAGCCTCGAATAGAATGCCCGTAACTTATCCAGATAAGGGGTTGTAAAACGATGCCGTCTAGCTATCTGCCAATACGGTTTGTCCCTTCGCGGAGCTGCACCCCCGACATATAACGGATATAGGGGGCAATTCCGTAGGAATTGATGCCATTTGAATATCGTCGCTACGACGCGCTTACGGTAGCTACATGGCGGCAGCTACAAGCCTGCGTTTACATGCCTGGTACAGATCTCTATCGGGCTAACTCGCTCGCTGCGATACGACCACGTCTTATCCTTCGGAAGACGTATTACGTGCTACTCCTCCAATTTCACTTCCGTCCCTTCGATTTCTTCCGCATGTATTTCACGTATCGTTTCATCTTGTTTCTTCGACCATTAAAAGGCATTTTCTACCTAACTCTACGTTACGGTGAGTTGCCTTAAAGATTTCTATGTGGTAAGTACAATCGTCTAAATTGTGAAATTGAAACTCAATTCATGAACCGAATAGGTCTACGAGGATAAAGATAGGATCGTGTTAGTTATATGTGTTTTCGCTACGTAGTGTCATCTAAATTTGTTTCGCTTTTTTGTCCTGTATGGGCTATTGTGAAAGCAGACGTGTTCAATTTGCAATCCCATGCATCTCGACTGAACTTGTTGTCCAGCGTCTAGGGATGAATT